TCATGACCTGAAAGCTTATGCCCTTTCCCTCCACCACACCGTAGATTACTATGCTTTTTTGCTCCTTATTCCTCCATGCCTAAGAAATCATATTCTAGGGCGCCTGGATGGCTCAGTTGGTTAAGCGACTGCCTTCAGCTCAGGTCATGATCCTGGAGTCCCGCATCGGGCCCACTGCTCGGCAGGGAGCCTGCTTCTCCCTCTGACCCTCCCCCCTCTCATGTGCTCTCTGTCTCTCTCATTCTCTCTGTCTCAAATAAATAAATAAAATCTTAAAAAAAAAAAAAGAAATCATATTCTACTTGGTTTTCCTCTCCTCTCAGTCAAAATCCTACCTACCTTCAAAGACCAGTTGAAGCAATTAGATCTTGCATGAAGACTTCCCTAGGGGCCTAACCCGTTGTGATCATTCCGCCTCCAAATTCCTGTAGCTCTTATCTTTTCTGCTTACTTTCATGCATTCAGTAATGCTTTTGGAGTGCCTGTGTTATGTGCAAGTCAATGTACTAGGCTTTGGGACCTATCAGCGAACAAAACAGACAGGAATCTTAGCCCTCAGGGAGCAAAACAAAATAAACAAAATAATCTCTAAGAGTGGGCTAGAAGATGGGCAGTGCCATGGAACAAAATGAAGTTGGGAGGAGGAGAAGGAGGGTGAAAGGCAGAGCTGGTGTTTATTAGGGTGTCAGGACAGACTTTGCCAAGAAAGTGAAAGTTTTGAGTAAAGACATTGCCTGATCTCCTCAACTAGATTGTGAGCTTTCTGAGATCAGGGAGATTTGTGATAACGTGTCTGCCTTTCTTTCAGTGTCCTGCACAAAATTCTGTACCTTCTTAGGTGCACAATAAACAACGCGTGGCGCTCGTTGATTTATTGATTCCACACACCAGTGGCCTAATATCTTCGTATGTAGGATCATTTTGAAGCATTAACGGTCAATCCCTCCCTTTCTACCCCGCCATATACATTTCCTTTGTGGAGATTCCTGCTTTGTCAGAAGTGAGGCAGGAGTTAAGGACATAATGGGAGAACACTGCCCCCTTCTGGGCAGGTGGTACTAGCAGCTTTTGACTCTTAAATGATTTTCCCTTTACCTACCCACTGTTAACTACACTGTTTAACTGACTATTTCCTACTCAATCACCCAGGAGTGCTTAGGTTAGCAGTTTGATACAATTTTGTTGTTGCTGTTTAAGCATCATCTAAATAAATAAAATTACCCAGGAAAAAAAGGAGATGATTAAGAAATACGGGACAGTTATTTCCTCAATAAAACCACAAAACCTCCAAAAGAGAGGGCTGTATGGCAGTAACTCTGAGACCACTTGAGCTGGTTAGTTTCACAATAGATGGGGAAAGAAAAAAGAAAGCGCGGAGGAACTCTGTTCCCTACCAATTAGTACGGTCTCCGGAATGAATGGATGTAGTGTAAATGTGGGGTGAGCAAGGGCATACTGGGGTTTGTCACTTAGTGACTGCAGGACCTTAGCTTCATTATATAAACGCTCTGAGCTTCTGTTACCTTCCCTAAAAACTAAGGTTAATAATACCAGTCTTGCAGTGTTATGAGATTTTTTTTTTTTAATAGTTCATTTAAAGTGTCTGGCACACAGTAGTTTTCAATACAGGGTAGTTTCCCAGTCATGATTCTGGGTTCCAAGCCACTTGGGCTTCCTAGTGGAGTCTGGTCTCACACGGCAGCGATCCCTCAAACATAAAAAGGGGATTCCAATAAACAACAGCCCCGAAGGAAGAAACCTCTACTACTGAGAGTCGCTGTGACTTTTACGCGGTTCTCTACAAGCCAACCCTTAGCAACTCCGTGGAACAGCTTTACAGCTGGAAGGGATCTTGTAGCCCCCATTTTAAAGTTTGGGAAACCAAGGTCCCAAGAGATGACCTATGCTGAATTATGCAGAAAGTGAAGAGTAATTATGCAGTTACATCTAGAACTTAGGTGCCCTAATTGTCAGTCCAGTTCCCCTCACAACATTCTTTCCCATCTGTCAAATGAGCATGGTGGTAAGGCTTACTTCCGGGAACACTTCTCATTGTTTGGATCTTAGCTCAAGCATCAGTTTATTAGGGGAGACTTCTGTCTCCAACTTGTCCAACTAGTTCAAATCCCCTCTGAGATCACCATAGCACTTCTCTGTTTTATAATGAAGGTGTCTAGTGGCTGCTATATCCCCATTAGGATGTAAACTATCCCCACTAGGATGTAAACTACAGGAGGGCAAGGACTGGTTCTGGGTTTTGTTCCGGGCTGCTTCCCCAGCTTTTAGCACAGCACCCAGCATGCAGCGGACCCTCAGTGATTATTGGATCAGTGAAGAAGTGAATGGATAAAGAGCCTGTGGACCATAAGGACAATTCAGATTATTATTAGAGTTGTTACTTCATATTGCAGGGGTTACTGCTCATACTACGAATGTCAGGTGGAAGTCTTTGACTTCTCATCCATTTGGGCTCCTCTTCTCTTTCTGCCTATGCCCTTCACCTCATATTCACTTGTCATCCACTCTGCTCTATCCCTCCCCAACCCCCCCATCCCAGGTCTGCCCAGTAGTGGAAGGTTCCAGAATAATGCCTCCACCCACTTGAGGATCTCATTTCTTTTGCCAACCATTCAGAAGATCCACTGATAAGCCACTTCACAGGGCTGGGGTGAGAATCAAGTGGAGAAATGATGGAAAGCCTCCAGCACAGGGTCTTAGAACATCTGCTCAACAGATATTGATTCCCTTACTCTCTTTTTCCTAAGGGGAGAACTGTAGCCAGCAACTGATAGCTTACTCTAATAGAGAATGTTTGGAAAAGGAACAAGAAGAGTGCATCCCTTAATGGGAAGCTTTCAGGCCAGGAATTAGGGTAGTGGTTGGGTGGTGTAGAAATATTTTAAGGGAAGGGCCAGCTAAGGACCCCTTAAATCCCGCTGTGAATTCATCACCAGTTCTGCCTTTGTCTGAGGCAATTTGGAGGAGAGTGGCAGTATGTGGGGCAATAGTAATTGGGACTTGCTTCATGCTGGGTGCTGTGTTAAGTGTACAGTCTCTATGACAGCTCCTTCTCACTATCCGTCAGAAGCTCCCTTTAAAGTGTTGTCCTTTGAGAATGCATCTATTCCTAAAAGTGTCAATCACCATCCATATGCCAGCAAACTTTCAAAACCATGCCTAGAGTTTCTAAGTTCTAGACTTGTGTTTTCAGTAACTATTGAAGACCTCAAGTGGGTTGTCTAGCTGGCATCTCAAATTCAAAGAACTTGACTCATTATCTTCTCCCCAAAGCCATTCTTTTTTCCATGTTGCCTATTTCTGTATCGGTTTCACTACCCACCCAGGCATCGAAGCTAGAAATTTTGGAGCCATTCTCGAAGTTTCTCTCACTCTCCTTATGTTCAGAGTTGATAGAACTTGGTGATTATAGCCAACCTCATTGGTGACTCACCTGTACCTTTTTAGCACTCACTTTTCCTCTACATGCTCTCCCACAAGCCTCCTTATTGCAAGCACCAGAGATTCTGCCTGAGAGACTTCTCTGGCTGCTGGTGCTCACTCAGACCACATTATGGGGCAAGCCAGAGTGCCAGGGAGTTAAAGTCCCTGGGAGGAGTCCTCAGTTAATGACTGATGGAAGTTGATGGATGTATTTTGAGTAGGACAACTCTGAAGCATGTTTTATGCTATCTCCCAGAGGTCTCGAGTCTGAGCACCGGTTGTGCACAGTGGTACTCTACTCATTAACATATCTGAAATAGTTACCACCCCTTTTTCATCCCCTATCGATGTTTGCTTGGATCATCTCTCAAACAAACTCACTGCACTCAAATGCTTATCTCTGGGCCTCCTTATAGGGGTAGTCAACTAAAACAGTGATCCATTAGATAATGGACTAAAGTCAGGAGAATGGCTACACAATTTTTACTAGGGATGATTGGCTGTTTGGAGGTATCATTAATCATAGATATAAGGGAGAAAATATGTATCTTTAAATAAGATATAATAACTGAGGTGCTGGCAGGATCACCCGGTTGGACGTGTTCAGTAGACAACTGGAAATATGAAATTAGAGATTGGGAGAAAAGTACAGACTGGAGACAAGGATCTAGGAGTTATCAGTGTATGTAGGCAGGTGCTAAAGCCATGAAAATGATTAAGATGGCCAAAATGCTATGTATAGAAGGATGGACAGGGAGAATCTATAACAAACACTAAACATCATTCCTACCTTCTCCCCTAAGACTGAGCATAGCTAGGTAAGGAGTCATTTCTAACTAGTGTCTAAATCCACAGAGCCCAGCACGGTGCCTGGGCAGTAAACGTCAAGAAATGCACAATTAAGTTTTATTCACACTATACAGTTATCACAAAACAAGAATCAGACCTTAAACCTCTATGCTCAATCTTGAAGACAATGTTTTTCTTGGTCCCTCATGAAAACCTAAAATCTCATCCATTACCCCACCGATTCTAATTTGCTCGAAGAGAAGACAGGGGAAGATAGTGTTTTCTATGTTTTGCCATTTAGCTTACTTAGAGTAGGATGTTGGTGATGCAAAGTCTGTAGCCCCATCCCTTATATAGTATTTGCTTTGAGAGGAGAGGTTATAAAGCAGTCCTCTTTCCTCTGCGCGACCTCGGGGGTATTAACCTCTCAGGGCCTCATCCAATTAACTGGTAATGCTCGTAATCCTTCATGTGCTGCTGTGGAGACGATGCCTGGAAAGTGCTGAGATTCCTCAGCTTAGTACAATCAAGAACCTGTCAAGCCTGACTTTCTGCAGCGTGCACGAAGCAAACGATAGTCTTGTGTATTTATTTCGTCCCCCAAGTATAAGATGACACTACAACTCCGCACGTCCTCATACCACCGGTAAAATGGTACCGCAATCCCTCGCTGCCAGAAAGCACTACGCTTCTTACGACAGCGCACGACTCCGCGCCTGACAGACACGCCTAGTCCCGTGGGCCCTGACCTTGCGGGCCAATCGCGCTGCTCCCGACTCATGACGTAAGCTGTGCCTGTGCATGCGCAGGGCGGGGAGACCTTGGCGAGGCGGCGGAGGAGCTTAGCGGACGGGAAAGCATTGGCCGAACGAAAGTTGAGCGGCAAGATGCAGAGCTGGAGTCGTGTGTACTGCTCTTTGGCCAAGGTGAGGGCCGACGGGGTGGGGTCGTGCCGAGCCAGAGGCGCAGAAGGGCCCGCTGACGGGGTCCGGGACGCGGCGGCCTAACTGGTCGGGGCGAGAGAGGCCGGCACTCTGGCGGGGACCACCCGGGCCCCGCCCCTGAGCGGCTCTGGCCGGGTCGCGGTCGGAGCCGGGACCGGGGCGGTGGAGAGGCCCCGCCTGTTGTGCGACGGCCTGCGGTCCGCTCGCAAGTCTGGGCTCTGGGGCATGCGGGTCACGACACACAGGCCTCTCCACCTTGGCAGAGAAAGTACAAATCGCACTCTACCCGTCTGGTCTTTTCATATCCTCTACCTTTTACTCGTCCTAATCCCAGCCCCTGAGTGGCAATGGGCAGGTAACCTTGGGGCCACTCCTTGAAACACCCAGCCGCAGTCAGCCCCGACAGGTAGCCCTAGGAATTCCTCAAAGGCCTCTTGTTTGCCGCTTTAAGCTAGTGTTCACTGCCTTCTCCTAGAGGCTTGTATTTTTTTTTTTTAAGATTTTATTTATTTGAGAGAGAGAATGAGAGACAGCACGAGAGGGAAGAGAGTCAGAGGGAGAAGCAGACCCCCCGCCGAGCAGGGAGCCCGATGCGGGACTCGATCCCGGGACTCCAGGATCATGACCTGAGCCGAAGGCAGTCGCTTAACCAACTGAGCCACCCAGGCGCCCTGAGGCTTGTATTTTTAATTGCAGCTGCTTATCGTTAGGACAGCTAGCTTTCCCTTTTCATCCACGTGCGGAATACAGCCAGATTGTACATATGTGGGATCGTGGCTGGGTACTAGGTTGACGGATACCTTAAAAATAGTATAGTAATCAGACTCCTTTGTTTCTAAGACGAGTAATCTATGCTCCTGAGAGTTAATGTAATATGCTAGGAGTCATATTAGTCCCAGGCAGAACTGGGACTAGAAGTTAGGACTGATGTTTGGTCCGCTCTTCTGGTCTGCTGTGCTGATCTCAGGTGTCTTGAATTGCCTTGGAGTAGAGAACATTGCTACATGAATGTGGGTTTCTTCACTGCCTCCCATTTGCCTGCTATGAGAAGAGCTATTTGCATTGTTTCTTTGTGCTTCATTGTTTTTAGGAAAGAGTAGACATTCATAGAGATTGTTGTGGGGATTATGGTGCACTTTGTGAAATTGTAGTAGCTCTTGAGTGTCAGTAATAACGCATTTTCCTACGTTATCTTGTCTAATTTTCTGTTTCTAATTAACTGTTCAGGAGCATCTTCACAGATTGTATATGGTAGTTTGAGTTAGGAAACAATAATTACAAGTAGAGGATTGTAATAATAAAGATTACGGACTACTTAAGTTAGAACTTTAAGAGCCCTTTAAAAAAAGATATTTATTTATTTGAGAGACAGAGTGAGAGAGAGAGAGCATGAGCTGGGGGGAGAGGGAGAGGGATCGAGATCTGAGCTGAAGGCAGACACTTAACCGAGTGAGCCACCCAGGTGCCCCTAGAACTTTAAGAGCCTTAATTGTGACATTAAATTGATCACTGGCACCAGAAATTAGCCATGCTTTCTGAAAATTTAGTAACACGTAAAACCACTGAATAACACTTTTTTTTTAATTGGACTTTAGTCCATATTTATATGAAATGGTTTATTGACTATTCATAATGAAAAGATAGTATGGTGAGCTGAGGTTGTAAAGTTTAAGTAATTCTTGTTACGAAAGAGGAGAAATTGATACGTAACCTCAGTTTGGCAATGGAAGATATATAAATAATAAGTGCTTGACACATTTGCTCCAAGTCATTACGTTTTCATTGACCTTCAGTAGTTCTATTTTGAATTCATATTTTACATAAAACAACATTTTCTTTCTTTTTTCCAGAGAGGCCATTTCAGTCGAATATCTCATGGCTTACAGGGAGTTTCTGCAGTGCCTCTGAGAACTTATGCAGATCAACCAAGTAAGTACTTAGTAAAACAGTTTTTCCTCAGATTAGCTCATAGTTCCTTTGTGTTTAAATGCAAAAGCCAGGGGTGCCTGGGTGGCTCAGTTGGTTAAGCGACTGCCTTCGGCTCAGGTCATGATCCTGGAGTCCCGGGATCGAGTCCCGCATCGGGCTCCCTGCTCAGCGGGGAGTCTGCTTCTCCCTCTGACCCTCCCCCCTCTCATGCTCTCTCTCTATCTTATTCTCTCTCAAATAAGTAAAATCTTAAAAAAAAAAATAAATGCAAAAGCAAGTGAATGTTAGACTAATTATAAACTAATCTATCATAGAATTCATTTGTTCATGTATTTATTCACTTAAGTGTTTATTGAGCACCTAGTGTGTCTAGGTGGTGAACTAGGCAAAGCCCTGCTCTTTTGAAACTGATGGTCTGCTGGTAAAAAACAATACTCACGTAACAGGTAAATATTTTGGCTAGTGATTGAAAATTAAAGGTAATTGGGAGTAAAAAAGCCTATTTTAGTTAGGGTGTCAGGGCTTTTCTAAGGAGATGACGTCTGAGTGAAGAGAGGGAGTGGTTATTTCAGGCAGAGGGAAACAGCAGTGAGAAGAGTCTGAGGTAAGAATTAGATTGTGAGGTTTAAGGCATCGCAGGAATGCTGGTGTAGCTGGAGCAGAGACCCATAGGATGTGACATCAGAGAGGTAGGCAGGGATCAGATCATGGAGGGCCTGGAAAGTCAAGTGAAGGAGTTTGGATTTTACTCCAAGAGTGTTGGAAAACCGCCGAAGGGTTTTGAGCAGAGGAGTGATTTTTAATGTTTACATTTAAAAAGTTAATTCTGTCCACTGGGTGAGAAGTGAGTTGGTGGTTTGACACTGTGTAGGATGGTGAGATGACTTTTTTGACATCCCGATTGAAAATTCTGATGGGCTTGTCAAAGACATATTTTAAAGATTGGAAGGATATACTCTGAGAGGAACCTATGGAATTTGGGTATTTTCTTCTTGTTTTTTTTTTTGAAAATATTTTTGAAGTTTCTATAAAGGATAATATTTTGTTTTTTAAAACAGGAAGTTAATGGGCTTGTAGTAAGGTATTTTGGCCTCCCAGTACCAAGGGTATTAATTATTTGAAATAATCTGTTTTGACATTTACTGGAATCACCCATATGATATAAGTAAAGTTGCATTGAAACTTCTTTGTAGAAACCATTCGCTGGGGGGAACTGTGACCTCTTGTGTCCCTGCATTCTCTGAAATAATTTTATCCTGTACCTTAATTGCTGCCAAACTAGTATCATCTGAGATACTTTATTTCTGGAAGAAAGAGTAGTGGGAGGATTCCATCACCAATGACCAACAGTGAATGATTTACCTCGCTTTGAAAAGGGCAAGAAATCCTTTAAAAAATACTAATTTGATGGTGGGGGAAAAAGTTGTACCCATTATAACCTTTTTTAAGAAATGTTTCAGGGGCGCCTGGGTGGCTCAGTCGTTGGGCGTCTGCCTTCGGCTCAGGTCGTGGTCCGGGACCCTGGGATCGAGCCCCGCATCGGGCTCCCTGCCCCGCAGGGAGGCCTGCTTCTCCCTCTCCTACTCCCCCTGCTTGTGTTCCCTCTCTCGCTGTGTCTCTCTCCGTCAAATAAATAAATAAAATCTTTAAAAAAAAAAAAAAAGAAATGTTTCATATTTGTTTACAAAGGAATATATTTTTTTAAAGATTTTATTTATTTGAGGGAGAGGGAGAGAGAATCTGAAGTAGGCTCTGCACTGAGCACAGAGCCCAACATGGGGCTCAATCCCACGACTACAAGATTGTGACCTGAGTTGAAACCAGCAGTCTCCAGGCCTAACTGACTGAACCATCCAGGCCACCCCCCATTATGCCCTTTGTTCCTTTTTATTTCTTCCAGTTTTATTGGGATATACTTGGCATGTATCAGTTGTCTTTGTTAAATGGGAATAGTACTTGTTCTTAACTCAAGCAACAGGAGAAATGTTAGATTTTCATTTCCAGAGCAGGCAATTAAAGACGTTGTGGCTAATTCTTCACCTGTGGAATTTATCAACAAAGATTTATTCAGTGCCTTCTATTTGCCAGGTAGTCTTTGAGCAGGATCTTAGATTTTAGTGGAATGAGGGTAACTGAGTGCTCGTGAATCAAATTGTTCAGTGATTCCTTGACATTGAATAAATTATAAATCCCTTAGCACCCACATTAATACAGTGTGTAAAGTCTTTGGTTGGGTGGAGTAACAAGCATTGTATGTTCATATTTATATTTATTTGAGCTGTTTACTTATTATTTTTTTAAAGATTTTATTTATTTTGGAGAGTCGAGAGAGAACATGTGTATATGTGCGCAAGTGGGGGGCGAGAGAGGGACAAGCAGACTCCGTGCTCAGTGTGGAGCCGGATAAGGGGCTTGAACTCACAACCCTGAGATCATGACCTGAGCCGAAACCAAGAGTCGAACACTTAACCTCAGGTGCCCCCGAGGTATTTATTAAATGGCTGTCTTTTTCTCAAGGATTTACAGTTCATTAGGGCAGGGACTGTGATTGTTTAGTGACTATAGTGGTACAGTAGATACTCAGTGCATATTTATTGAATAAATATGAGAAAAGGGACCATGTCTGGTTTAGTTACTGCTTTATCCCAAGCATTCAGTATGGTGCCTGGTACAAAGTAAGTCCCCAGCAGCAACAACAGTAATAATAACTGATGCCCTGAGAGCTTACTCTGTCTCAGGCAGTCTTTAATCCTTGTTGCCATCTTACAAGATGTGTGCTGCTATTTCCCCCATTTTATAAGTGGAGGTGCTGAGTCAAGAGAGGTCCAGCTAGGAAGTGATAGAACTGGGAAAATTCTTCTGACTCTAGAGCCTACACTTTTTTTTTTTTTAAGATGTTATTTATTTATTTGACGGAGACAGCAAGAGAGCACAAGCAGGGGGAGCGGCAGAGGGAGAGGGAGAAGCAGGCTCTCCACTTGAGTAGGGAGCCTGATGTGGGACTCAATCCCAGGACCCTGGGATCATGACCTGAGCCGAAGGCAGACGCTTAACTGAGCCACCCAGGCACCCCTAGAACCTACACTCTTAATCTCTGTTCTGTTTAGTCTGCTTCCAGTGAGTATTGGTTGATCAGACCAGCTTGAGGAGTTCAAAGCTTACTATATATAGAACATTCCCTGTTAAAACATCTGGAAGGGGGCACCTGGGTGGCTCAGTCGGTTAAAGCGTCTGCCTTTGGCTCAGGTCATGATCCCGGGGTCTGGGATTCAAGTCCAGCGATGGGCTTCTTGCTCAGCGGGGAACCTGCTTCCCCCCCCCCCCGCCCATGCTCTGTCTTGTGCACTCTTGCTCACGCTCTCTCTCAAATAAAATCTTAAAAATAAAACATCTGGAAGATGTTTGATTATCTGTATGAACGAAGTTCATCAAAATTTGAAGAGTAATGTGTATTATGGATAGGACCTTCCATTTCATGACAGGAATGGACTCCTAGCACTTCATCACTCATATTTGCTATATTCATTCATTCATTAGTTCAACAAATATGGAATATATACTATGTGCTAGTTATTGGGCTGGTTGCTGGGATATAGCAGTGAACAAGTCAGACAAGATGCAGCTTTTATAGAGTTTATAGTCCATTTGGGGAAGACAAACATCTAATAAATAATTGTGATAAAGACTCCACAGGCTAAGCATAGGGAGCTATAAAATCTGTACGTGGATTGGGAATGGGAGTGGGCCTGGGAGGAGGTGTTCCAGGTAGAAGGAACAGCATGTTGGGAGTATTTTGATGCGAAAAAGAGCATAGTGCCCTTGAGGAGCTTGAAAGGGGCCATTGTGGCTGAGGTGTGTTGAAGATGGAGTTGACGACCTCTGTAGATAATGAAAGACCCTAACTCTTTATTTTAAGGGCAGTTAGAAGCCATTGTAATGATTTAAGCAGAGGCATGATCATAATTTGTTACATTCTGGTTACAGATTGGAGTTTTTATTGTAATGCTTTTTCTTTCTCTCTCATTAGACTGTAAGAACCAGGGCTGTCATTTATAGATATCCCTAGACCTTAGAGTAGTGTCTAATGTGAAATGCATGCTGTCAGCATTTATTTCTAGGTAGATGGAACAGAATGTACATAGGTAGACCAGTGTACTTCTGTGGGTGTAAGCTAACAGTAATTCACTGTTGGTGAATTACTTAAACTGCATGGTATTGGCGCATAAGCACAATGTGGTGGGGATGAGGCTAGAGAAGAGATTTGGAGGTTATATTTAGGAACTTGGATTTTATCCAACAAGAGACAGGGAAACCTTCCTTAGCACCTGGCACAGTTGTTGGTGCTCGATAAATGTTTTTGAATGAAAAAAAAAAAAAAGGAAACCAATGAAGGAGGAGAGAGTAAAGTCTGAGTTGGATTTTAGTGAGAGATAACACTGGGGTAGCAGTGTGTAGGGTGGAATGAGATTGGAGGCTGCGAGATTGGGAGGTGCATCTGGGGAGGGAAGAATCATTTATTGAGTGTCTCATGTGCACCTGCCTCCTCCCAGGGTCTTGACAGACGTTATGTCTGACCTCACAACCCTGGGATGTAGGTATTACTGTCACTGTTATTCCTATGTTACATCAAAGCCAAAGAGATTAAATAATTTGCCCAAGAATTTAGGAAGAGGTAGAGCACATATTTGAACTTCAGTTTTTCTTTTTTTAAACTTCAAATCCTTTTTTCTTTTAGTATATTTCTCCTTTATGGATTAGGGAGGTTGTAGGGTTATCATCAGAAAGTAAAGTATTAGAATTCAAGATTTTAGAAGCTGAGCAGTTTTGGGTGATGACAAGTATAGGGTATGACTATAAGAGGGTCACTGAAATAGACTGGAGATTAAGGCCATTGGTAATTTAAAAACAGCCCCCTTGCCCCCAACAATAAATAAACCTTACCAAGTAGCTCTTGTAATTATGTAGTGAATTTGGTCATTAATGATTACTGCCTTATGATA